TAGTCTAAAACATCGAAGAAAGGTTGGAAATTTCTCTCTCTTCTATAAAGACTCCCACGGGAAGTGTACAAGTGACTTGGCCCATTCGATTCCACTAAGAGCGGTACATATCAGAAATACGCGATTGTGGCTTCTCTTCGTTTTAAGGTTCAACTCAGTACACCTCGAACTTCACTGTTTGAGAATTCTCTCATTTGAAGAACGGCGTTTATGTGGAATGAACTTCCTGAAAATGTTTTTCCAAATGGATTTGATCTCCAGCGATTCAAATCCATAGTGAATCGCTACTTTCGCACAGACACCGCTCTAAGAGCGTCTTGAGGGTTATTTTGTAATGCTCGTGTTCACTCCTTGAAAAAGAGGTCAGTTTTCAGCTTTCTACTTCTTCATCACTAAATGTGAGCAGATTTGTCACATCCGGTGATATTCAATCGTAATAATACGAAAAAAACGGGTGTTTCGTCTTGTAATGATATTAATAATAGTGTTGATTGGGTGTTTTGTACTGAAACTAAACATCACAGCGATATTATTCCACACTGTGAGCAAAGCGTTCCTATGATATCTGATTCCATAACATTCGTTATGGAATTGAATCAGACATGTTATAGTGTTATTGATAGTTCCGGAGATTTTAGCTTCGAAGATAAGCCCTGAAGTGGTCGATCTACAGGACGAGGATTTGAAGACCCTGGTGGAGAATGACCCATCACAAATGGTGCGTGGGTTGCGGAAGAACTGGGTGTCAGCTCCAATACAGTTTTTGATTAATCAAATGGGAAAAATCAAAAAGCAAGGAAAGTGGGTGCCACACGATATGATTGATCGTCGAAAATTGTCACGTTTCGAGGTCTGTTCATCTTTGCTTTAGCGCAAAATGATCTTTTTCTGGATTGGATCCTCACGTGTGATGTATCTTTTACGACACCAGGAGACGTTCAGGATAGTAGTTGGCACCTATGAGCTACCCAGGCACTTCTCAAAGGCGAAAACCTCTAAAAAAGAGCATGGTGATCGTATGGTGATCAGTGGCTGGTATGATTCACTATACCTTAACCGGGGCAAATCAGAGTCCTTTTGCGAGGAAATCGACAAAATGTAGCCAAAAATTGCGTCAGCTGCAGCTGGTACTAGTCAACAGTAGAGGTCCCATCCTGGTCCATGACAACACCTGTACGCACGTTTCACAAATCACCGTTCGAAAATTAAACAGAATCCCCAGCCCAACCAGCAATTTTTCATTTTATAATGTTTGTGTTAACGTTCTGGAGAAACGAATTATAAAACTGTATTTCTCCCAGAAATATTTTAAATGTGTTTATAAAACAGCTATGAAAAGGAAATTGACACCGTTTTATAAAACATCATAGTCTTCATTATTATTTTGTAAGGCCTTTTACAAACACTACAAAACATTTTTAACAACATTTCGACAGTTACTATAAAAATTTTATGACACTATTCGTAAAGAATCTTATAAAATAATTGAAATACTATTTCATAATAGTTCTTTAGTAATTCCCAGTCAGCTTAAAACGATGCTGATAAAATAAAAAAGTGTTCAAAATGTTTTCTTAAAGGCGCAAAAAGTGATTTTGTATTGGACACCAGGAAAATATAATAGATGTCATCAACTGAAAACTAACGAATAGAAACGTTGGGGCTATGTTTAATAATTTCACTTTTGTACTTATAAAACTTTTGAAGACATTTTTGTGCTTCAACGATTGATAATTCAGCAGCTAATGAAATTTTATTGACAAATATATAGCCTATTATTAGTAAAATTTGTGCGCGCCACTCTTTTATTAAAATTTTTGAAAAAACTTTAATTAAACAAAAAATTACTCTATCAAAAAATCACTGTATTTGTTCTAAATGATATAATCTTATGATATCTATGTACTTTTCATCTGTAAATGTCACAATGTGTGCAGTATTTCATATTTTCAACTCATCTAATGTCAGTATTCCGAATTGCTATCATTTTAAAATGGCGTCGTTCTATAAAATAATTTGGTATCAATAGTAAAAATTTTAACGTATTTCAGCTTATATGTTACTCCTATGAAACACTTAGTTCTAGGATTGATGGTATTGCGACAGAGTCGAACTACTTTTAAAGCTATAGATTTCTATAAAAATGAAGACAGGATTTCTCACGTATGTTTGGATGAATATTATCTGTCGAAATTTTTTGGCTAAGATGCTTCTTCCATCGATTATAAATGCTGAATTTCGAAGAAGCTAGTGATTTGAGTGTATATAAACATGGTGCTCTACTTAAATCGACGGATTTTAATCACCAATTACCTTTTCCTATATTTAGCGATATCAAAATTGAAGTACCTACTAGGTTACGTGCGTCCTCGTCTAAAACGAACCATTTTTCTTATTTTCTTTCCAATGACCAATATTACACGACGTTATTAGGTATATATCTATTGGGACGCTAGTCAAATAAAACTGACAAATTATACCTCATTACACGACCTCAAAAATCAATGTCAGATGGTTCTTCTTAAATGCTGCATTTTTTCTTGGCAACAGCAAATATATATTGGCGAAAGCAAATTGATTTTATAACAGTTATTTTATTGTTTTGGAATTGTAGTAAATATACCATACTATGAAATAGTTGGGAAATTATCATCGAAGTGACAATATGGTGATGAAAATAAAATTGTCATTGAAAGCATTCCAATAAATTAATTTCATTAAAGCTACAGGAATCAGTTGAAACATTTTTATAAAGAGCATAAAAACCTCACTGAAAAGTGCTATAAAACCGCTACAAAACAATTTACTTTCATAGAAAAATATGTTTTCTGGCTTGATTGTAAATACGTTTCTCTGATAATTTCGTGGCTATTTCATAACGGATTTTTAATTTTATTTCGTAAACGTTCCTATGACAAATTCATGAAACACTTCTATTGCTCACAACTATATTATGTTGACGGCACGTCTGATATAATCAATTAGCATTTTGGATGTTATTATAAAATACCAACAAAATAAAACTGTTGGAAACAACCTAATACAACTGAAAAATGTACACCTGAATAATCAAGTCGTAACATTTTCGAGTTCCAAACTCCATTGCATGCTGAATTTCAACCGCATCCTGAGTACTTGTACTACGTCAATCATCTTCATGAAATGGTGTCAGGCTGCAAATTGCGGAAATTGTGTACGGACTGTAATTTGTACAGAAGCACGAGAGTTTCTGAGAAGAGGGCGAAATGGTTTTCCACTCCGAGAACAATGTTGAGATGAGATGAATTTTCACGAATAACGACTACTGCGAATGAACTGAAAATTAGTTTCTGATTTGTTTGCGTCTTTGTCGTGTGTTGGATTCTCTGAATTTTTGTTTATGAATAATTTCAATCTTTTCAGTTAATTTACCATCACAGATTGAACTGGTCATGTCATGTTGACAAACTGGCCAAGACATTATCGAGTGTAATATTTATGATTCGTAGACTAAAGAAATTCGCCGGTATCAGAGCGGTCAAATTTTCTTACTTCGGACTCTTCCATAATCACATGGTATACGGCATAGTGTTGTGGGGGAATTCTTGTCATTCCAAAAAAAATTCGTATTGCAAAAAAGAGTTATACATCTGATATCTAATTCCAACTTCAGAGATCATTGTCGCCCACTTTTCAATCATCTCAAAATCATGCCGCTTCATTCAGCCTTTATATGTAAAACATTGATGAAAATTCATAAAAATAGATTCAACTACATTTCACAATCGCAACAACATAAATATCCAACGAGATCAGGAACTCTAAATTATTATGTCACATAAAACAACTCAATTTCCACCGTTTCGAGCGAAAACTGAAGCCTTTTTTTTATTACTGTTTTTATTCCACATATGAATATATGTTATATAACATAGATAATTCGTGTAACTTCGAGCAACGATTGTTCTCATTTTTAACATTAGTTGTTTGATTGTATTTGTTATTGTGAACATTGTTCTGTTATACAAGCATTGTGATATTTGTATATTACTTGTATATATGACGATATATTTATTCTTTTTTGTTTTGTCTTGCTACAAATATTTGTTCAAATGTATCACTTAGCCAATAAACTATTCTATTCTGATCTATTCTATTCTGTGGAATCAGTTGAAAGAAATACATAAGTTTCTGTACGAACCCTAACATGGTGAAACCGAACAGCAAAAAATCTCACGAGATAAAATTTTGAAGCTGGTCGAACCACATTGCATCAATATTCCTGTTTTTACTAAACTGAAGAATAATAAATCATGACATACTCATTTTTTTTTACTTCATTTACTCACACCCCTGTCATTTTGGAACAGTTCGTGCGACATCTTCATCCTACGAAAAGTTATTGAGATCTACTCACTTCATCCGAAGGTTTTTAGAATCTTCGGTTCACCAACGGTTCACACTTCCAGTAGTTTGTATAAAATTGCCAGAATTTTCATTCTCTTGAGTGAAATGTTTCAGTATAACAATACACAACGCTGATGATGTATGAGCCATATTTTTGAAAATCAACATCATGTTCAATAATCCTAATAATACATGAAAAATTGTCATGATTTCAAAAATAATTTTCTTTCGAAAAATTTTCCAGTACAATAAAGTTGATGATATATTACAAGGAATCAACAGTATATCCTATGGGGTTTTTTGTATTTTTCACTTCTATTCGTTTGTNTGTTTTCTCCATACAAATGACAACACACGATCACTAACGTCTTACTACTTTGTAGTAAATGTTCAAGAGGTAGCAAAAACTTATGTGAATTTCTGGAACTTCATCTAGCGTTTCCTTATATGACTAATAACCAGTCCGCGCAAAGCTTATTGTTAAATCATCTGAAACAGGAGCGCCCATTAATTTTTATTGTTGTTTTATAATTTCACGATTTGTTTTTTGGAAGTGTTATTGAAAATAACAGAATAATCTGATATATACATTTTCAGCTCGTAAAATTATCAAGCCACTCATTTATACATTCAAAAAATTTTTTTAGGCACTGGAACTTTGAACTTCGATTCATTCTGTCGAGTAGCGAGCCATTTCTTGGAAAATGAAGATGACGAAGCCCTCCAGAAAGAACTCAAAGAGGCTTTCAGGTTATATGACAAAGAAGGTAAGTTATCTTTCTTCAAATCTGAAATAAAATAGAAACAATCATGCGATGATGTCAACAAAAACATAAATCAGGAATATACTAATATAATCAAATGAAGGGATGGTACAGAAAAGCAATATTTTCATTATATCATTTATTCAAAATGATTGCAAATGATCATAAATTATCGTGAAATTTGAGTCAATGACAAGTCAGTTGCAGTAACATGCCCTGATTTTCTTCTTCTCTCACCTTCATGACACCACTTCTATCCAAGAATTGGTTGCCTCCTGTAATTCAATGCACCACATTCGTAACAATGTTTTGTTCATGTGCTTTCGAAATGAACAGTATTCGTTGATCTATAATCATTCTGAGCCAATTTCTGCTCTTTTGAGACCATGTATCACTGAGTGTCTATACTATTACTTGAACCTTATATTTACAGCGTTTTCTGGAGTCTTGTTTCCCGAATAATGTAACCTCCAACTAAGAGGCATCAATATTCAATTTTCTTCCACATATAGTCAGTGGGCATACTTGAAAACTGACTATAAATCAAATCATCTAAATGAACAATTCGTTCAGGCCAGTTTCAACTCCCTACACTGTAGGTGGACTGACACCTATCAGAAAACAACTACCCCTTGGCTAATACCACGAAGGGCGTTGTATTATATACGACAGTTGTCACTGCAGAATTCTTCACTGAAGTTATTCCTGCATATGCTATTGGCGATAGAACTCCCACAATAGATTTTCAATTGTTGGAACACACTTGCAGACCGGTTTTTGTTGTTTGGTCACTTGTCAGTACAAGAGCAAATTTCGGATATGCCGTTGGTTACCTCGTTCACAGGCAGATGAAACGATGACAAATCTGTTGTTGTTGTTTGTTTCAGCTTAGTTCGAGGAATGATACCCTGGAGGAATTCGATTTTCAATTATCGGAAATCATCGACTTTATGTTGATGATAGACACTACCTTACACTGACGAGTGGCCAAACAGTCCGTTTCTCTCATTAGGAGAATAAATCATTTTTTTCCACTTGATATATACATCCGATCCAAATCAAAAATTATGAAAACCGTCCTAGCCGTTCTTAATAGTGTAACTAACATGCTTTTGCGAATTTGATGTAAATATTATCTGTTATATTATTTGTTGAAGGTAACGGATATATTCCAACATCCAGCTTGAGGGAAATCTTGGCGGCACTCGACGATCAGCTCACTAACGATCAACTTAATGAAATGATTGCAGAAATAGATACAGATTCATCTGGGACCGTAGATTTTGAAGGTAATGCAAATGATGAACAATTTAGTGGTGGTACACGTTAGAGGACACGATATTCAGTTTGTTTCAATGTTATTGATAACATATTTTGTTGTGAGTAAAGGGTTTTACTTGAATTACCTGGAAAAATCTGCGAATTCAAAATATGACAAAAAAATGAATAAAAATTGAAAAATATGAGGATACATTCATAGATCGATCAGGTAACGGGTTATGTGAAATTGACAGTGGAGACAGTTGGAATTATAGAGAAAAGTATGAATTTATATAAAACTAAAATTTGAATTTGAATAAAAAATGTATGAGTGATAATGAAAATAGTTTCCAAAGTTTTCAATCATTCAATTCGTAGGTTAGATTACTCGAAGATAACAATACATTATTTCTAGTGGTTTCGGAGAAACTATAATTTATTCGTGGACATATACAAGTTTGAACCTGAGAGGGTTGCCAGTTGGGTAAAGTCGACAATTGCTCGTTTAAAAACCCATTTCATACATCTTCCATACTTTTCGTAAACTAGTATGACATTTGACAAAATGACTGAGGCTTTGAAAACGAAAAAATACAAGAGCAAAATTGAAGAACTGCTAGACTCTTCAAACTACCGCTATCTCAAACGGGACCCAACACAATCAAGGTTGAGAAACATCAAAAAAATCATAAAATCTTGCCGGAAACTGGAAACTCAGATGGGAGCCGTTCCACCCAGTTTGTATGGTCTTCCGGAGGTACATAAAACCAACATGCCACTGAGACCAAGAGTCAGTGCCCCAAGCTCGCCAACCTACCACATGGCGAAGCATCTGGCCTTGCTTCTCCAGCCTCATGACAGACATCATTTATAAAATGAGGGACTGCAGACGACAGATATTCTGGATGCTTCGATGTTGTATCCTTGTTTACCAATGTCTCACTGGAAAACTCTCTGAGGAAGAAAGCCTACTTGTTTTCGAGTGATATCGTCGGACTCTTCAGAGCATGTCTCACAAGAATTTTCTTTCGAAGAAGGGGTAACTTCTATGAGCAAGTAGATGGCGTAGCGATGGAAATTTCCAGATCAGTTATAGCCAACTACTTCATGAAACTTTCTGAAGAGAAAAAAATCGACACCTTTGAATTAAAATCGACCTTGTGGCTACTTCACGTGGATGACACTTTTATTATCTGGAATCATGGAAGGGACAACCTAAACCTTTTCCTAGACCACTTGAACGATCACCACCCCAGCATCAGGTTCACCATGGAGACTGAACAAGACTAGTGGATAGCATTCGTAGATGTACTCATCGTAAGGCGTGGTACTAGACTAACCCACAAAGTGTACCGAAAATCCAAGCTCAAGGACAGATACCTGCACGCACTATCAAACCACCATCCTAGTCAAAAGATAGGAGTCATATTTATTCTCTGAACGGACTCAAGGAATATGTGGAACTGAAGAGTTTTTTCATGGACAAAACACAAGTACTACAGAAAAATTCTTGAGACGCTCTTAGAGCGGTGCTTGTGCGAAAGTAGTGATTCACATTGGATTTGAATCCATTTGGAAAAACGTTCTCAGGAAATGTATTCCACATAAACGCCGTTCTCCAAATGAAAAAGTTTTTAAACAGAGGAAGTTCGAGGTGAACTGAGTTGAACCTCAAAACGATGAGCGGTCTCAGTCCGTTGTGTATTTCTGATATATTTCGTTCTTGGAGGAATCAAATGTGCCAAGTCACTTGAACACCTTTCATGAAAGTATTTATAGAAGAGAGACAAATCTCCAACCTTTCTTCGCAATAGTAGACAGAACTTCGGGCATAGAAACCTGCAGGCCACGGCCAAAAAATCCGGAAAATACACAGTTATCTCCTGCCGTCTTTGATCAATGAGTATTGAATTGAAAACTGATTGCTTGTTTGTAAAGAAAAGAAATTATTGTGATCTGAAATGGAAATGAACAATAGGTTGTTCAATAAATAGAAAGTGGATAAAAAAAATTAATAAATGGAAAATAAATAAATGGAAATGAAATTATGGATAATCTACTCAAACAATATTTGGATCCTGTTCATATCGTGTAAAAAAGATTGACGACTAAAAGTTTCAAGTAGGAATAATTGCGAAAGCATAATGAATAATTTTCTCATTTTGAGGTATGTTACCCAAAAAGTAGAGGGAAATGATGATACAGGGTAGGCCATCGAAAACTTGACATGGATGTTTTGGGTACTAATCTTGCAAATACTAAAAAATACTCAGACAGGTCGATTTTTATTGGGAGAGTGACAGTTTTTTCTCCATTCACAGCGTCGTCACTTCAACCCTGGAGCACAGGGGTGAGCAACCCTTGCAATTTTAATAGGGAACTGAGGGCGAGGCACATTGTTTGAAAGATCTCTAAACAACGGTGTACTTTTCTTTCAGTTGGACGTTAGATTTGAAGATACTTACTTTATTCTCATGTTAGCATATGCTCAAAATGGACACCTCCAGCTTCCATGCAATGATAGAGATTCAACTGGAGTATTTCTGGAGTGATTTGACGACATTCATTCTGCTTTTTCAAATGACCACACAGAAAGAAGTCTAACGGCGCCCCGCCCTCCAATCCATTGATCCGAAAAAGTCTGATCTGAATACTGCCGAACAGGCAGAGCATAGTGCGGAGAAGCCCCATCTTGTTGAAATATTAACTGATCCTCCCGACAATTGTGATCATTTTCAATAATATCAGTGAGAAGGTGATCAATAGTATCTTTTAGAAGCTCCAGATACATTCGTCCGGTTGAATTGCCTTCTAAAAACAATGGGCCAACAATACGGTCGCCAAAATTTCCAGCCCATACATTTAATTTTTGTGGACGTTGAGTATGCACTTCATGAAAAATGTGAGGATTTGAATCACTTCATTAGCGAAAATTATGGCGATCACTGTGCCATTTAGAAAAAAAAATCATCACTGAAGCAAAAGTTGAAAACAAAATGTGGATTTTCCACCGCTCGTTCACTGTATAAGCAACTCGCAAAATTGCAAGCTTCTATCGAAATTAACTTCATTCAGTTCTCGCGGTAATTTAATCTTGTAAAAATGCATTTTGTGGGTTTTTAAAATACGCCGAATGCTAGTTCGTGACACTCCGGAAACAAATGCCAAATTTCTTGTGCTTAAAGTATGGTCAAGCTCAACATGGCCCAGAATTGCCACTTGTTTTTTCTCATTTGTTACTGGTGGTTCGATTTGCCATTTTTTATTTGTTACAGATCAAGTTGCGCAAAATTTTGCAATTGAATCGAAAACATAGTGTCGCGACACATTCTTTGTTGTTAATTGAATAATTCAGCGGCTCTCGCAGCACAATGTCTATTTCCATAGTACAGTTCAATCAACTCAACCCTCTCTGCAGTTGTGTAAACCATTGTTTCTTTGGCAACACGTTACGGAACTCACTGTCTGTTTAAAATCTGTTTAAAATATGTTTTTTCGTTAACCAGCTGTCGCACCCCTACGAACGACAACCCTCAGAAGTCGAAACTTGTGCGAGCCAAGGATTAACGAGGTCTTACCTTTCAACGTGTGATTCCTAACACGGGTTGTCGGTAGCAAGTGAAGATCGATCGTTCAGACTAGGGCTTGAACCACCGACCAGCACGGCAGTCAATTCGAGTGAGTGAACAAAGCACCCACACCGAACCGCTTGGCTACCGACTGACCTACACTACTAGTAATAATGTAGAAATCACTTTCAACATAAAAATGAAACAGCATTTTTAACCATTTCTCAATTGTAATAGTCCTCTTATCAGAGAAGAACAAAAAAATTTACAAAAAAGTAGTGTAAGAAACAAACGAAAGAGTTCCAAATACATTCCCACTGAGCAGTGGCGTAGAACAATTTGTTGCTTTTGATAATATTGAAAAAGTTAATTGTCGGAAAGAACTCTATTGAATACGTCCAAATTCAAAAAAATGTACACAATTGTTTAGAGAATTTCAAGATCTTTCAAACGATCGATGTGCGACTCGCCCCCTATTCCCTATTAAAATTCCAAGTGGTTTTCACCCATCTGTTACAGGGTTGAAGTGACAACGCTGTAAATGGGGAAAAAACTGTATCCCTCCCAAGAAAAATCGACCTGTCTAAGCGTTTTCTCGGATTTGCAAGATTAGTACTCATAACCTCCATGTCAAGTTTTCGATGGCCCACCCTGTATATATGAGTATGTGTTTTTGTCATGTATGAATATTTCATTATTCCATTATCACAATGTAATCAGATAATAAACAACCTTCTTCATGTGCATGTGGTGGGGGTGCCTAGGTTCCTTTCTGGAGATTCGATCTTCAAAATGATTCTCAAGAGATCTCTTACCTTCACATCTGAATTTTGTAGTACCTGAATGAAATTAATCGAACATTTATATGTCACGATTTTTTTAAATTAATTCAGTAGTATCACTTCATATCCGACTACCTCATTACCAGAGCATATACTTTGTGCCTGCCCCGCTGGGGACCGAATCAGATCTTTAGAGTAGGGCAGAGCCGTACTCTTACCATCTGACCTGAAAGACCACTCACCATACAAACTGATCGGCTTCGTTAAGAAGCTGGGTTTGTTTGGCCGAGTGAAAATAGGTGAGCCACAATAAACCCTTGCAGGTTGCGGTGGAGGGACCTAACCTAATCTAACTATTACTTCATAATCAACTAATAATTACTCAATTGTTTTGCAAATATTGACTGATTTGTATTTATTTCAGAATTCATGGAAATGATGACAGGTGACTGAAAACTATCCAAATAACTGTATAAAAAATGGAGTGAGCGGTTTAAAGTTCCCATATGGATAATTTGTTGATATTTGAATTTTTTTGAATAATAAAACGTACAATATCATTGTTGAGTGTTTTATTGATTTTTCCAGTTCCGTCATAACGTAATAATAATCGATAGAAATATGAATGCAAATATTTTGTGTGAAACTGATTGAATAGTTGATGATTACTGAGAGTAATATATATTCGTATAACTCTTCCTGATTCTTAAAAACCTTATGAAATTTACATGTTTCCTAAAAACCAACTTCATAAAGAGAAGAGAGGTAATAACAAACCACTTTATGGAATTGAAACAAAAGCAAATGGAAAAAATACTTTCTCTCAGCAAAATTCTGAAATGGGTTTCAAAGATTTTTCGAATTCTTCAGTAATAAATTCTTCAGTCAAAACCCTTGGGTGAAATGGGTTGAAAAATATTTGTAACACCTGTTTCATGAACAGCGTAATTCAATGTTTATCAAATACGAGATGGTTATTGGAATATTTGAAAAAGGATGAATTCATGGAAGACATCAATACTAGTATTTTCAGTATGAAGGGCGCTTTAATCAAAGCGTTTGCAGAAGTCATCAAGGAGTTGTGGTCAGAAGATGAATTTGATAGAGTAGCAAATATGGTCTTCTTAAAAAATCAGATTCAAAGTTTTGCTCCTAGATTCATAGGTAATTCCCACCAAGACGCCCAGGAGTTTCTCCGTTATCTTTTAGAAGGTTTACATGAAGACGTTAATATAGTTTTAATGGACCAATTTCAACGGAGATTGCCAAAAATCAAGCGACAGCATAAATGCACAAAAGTCATGGCTCACATATTTGAGGATGCATAACTCTAAGATTGTAGATAATTTCGTTGGTCGATTGAAATCCATAATGAAATGCACAAACTGTGGACACTCATCAGTAACCTCTGATCCTTTCTGGGATTTGTATCTCTCCATACCAAAAAGAATCGACCAATTGAATTTGTGGCAATGCTTGGATTCATTCACAACAGGGGAAACTTTGGATGGAAATGAAAAACCGACGTGTTCTAAATGCAAGGAAAGTTCCTATCAATCCACAAGTTTCCCCATATTTCACTTATTCATTTGAAAAGATTCTCTCCAACTGAAAGATTTCAGAGGAAAATTGAATGATGACATCAAATTTCTTGTAGAAGGATTAGATATGGACAATTTTGCAGCAGAAAATGTGGTTACTTGTTGTTATAATCTATATGCAGTTTTAATCACAGTGGGACTAATTTCAGAGGAAAATTGAATGATGTCATCAAATTGCTTGTAGAAGGATTAGATATGGACAATTTTGCAGCAGAAAATGTGGTTACTTGTTGTTATAATCTGTATGCAGTTTTAATCACAGTGGGACTACTTACAGAGGGCATTATACAGTATACTGCAAACACCCGTATACAACGATTCACACGTGTCACCAATTTCACCAAAATCGCTTTCATGAAAATCACACCACTGAGATAACTAAGGGAAAGTTTCTTTGTGCAATTATTATTTATTTGTTCTCAAGTGCAAACAAAATAAATATATTCTCAGCAGAAAATATTGATAATTGTTTTTTTTATTTGTTTGTATAGCTTCTTTCCGGTAATTTTTTTTTTCAGTATTGTAAGACGAGCGGAAATTCAGCCTCTGAAACGTAAACCATCAGGTTGTTTCAAGAGTTTTGTCAGTTTTTGCGAGTCTACTCTGAACTATAATATATCAGTGGATATTTATTAATCTGAATCGAAATAAGCGTCATTCGAATCAGTGCACTTTTGCAAACGTAACACAAGTCAATTTATTTTGTTAGCTCGGGATTTGATAAAGTCGACAAAGGCCGTTTTTCCCTGGTCCTGATTGGCGAAGATGCTACCGATGAAAAAGTTACCGAAGTGCTTGGAAAGATAGTAGCTGGTTAGCGAGAGGTCTGGGGAGTACGAAGGATGATGCAGAACTTTCACGCTCAATTCGTTTAATTACCGGACGTTGATTGGTGTAACGTTCACGCAAGCGTTGTCGTGAAGAAAATTCGGACCTCTTCTGTTGACCAGTGCCGGCCTCTGCTGACACAATATTTGGTACATTCCATCAATTTCCTCACAATAGAACTTGCTGTGATGATTTGGCGCGATTGCAGAAAATTATAATGAATCACACCAGCTGCTGACCTTCAAACAGTAACCATGGTTTTTTTTGGAGCTTGTCGCCTTTGAGAAATACCTGGGTGGCTCATCGGTGTCTAACGACTGCCCTGAACATATCCTTTTCAACACACGTGACAAAAGCAAAAATGAACCGCCTTCGAAACGTGACAATTTCGTGCAAACCGATCGTGCAAACCGAGGGGCAACCGCTTTTCGAGCTTTCCAGGCTTTTTGATACGCTTCGAACCATCAAACACCGCTTGGGAGCTAACGCTCAGTTCTTCCGCCACCCCACACAACGTTAGTGATGGGTTCGTATCCACCAATATCTTCAAATCCTCGTCCTGAATTCATGTAAGTCGGCCACTTCGAGGCTCATCTTCGAGGCTAAAATCTCCGAAACGAAACTTTGCAATTCAACGTTGAACAGTACGTTAATTAAAACTATCTTTGCGAAACACCTGGTTGATTTTTTGGGCTATTTCGGCAGCGCTTTGGTTCATTGATAAAATGAATGCCGCAGTAAAGGATGTAAATAAGTACCTCATGGCAAATAAATCAAAACTGAATAAAATTAAAACTAAAGGAATGATTATTACAACAAAATATAAATGGAACAAGCTTGATTTAAATGAAATAAATCTAGAAATCGATAATGAAAACATTAAAATTGTATCATGTATCAAATATCTTGGATTCCAGTTTATTACTTTTTGGCAATCATCTCGATTATATATGTAAAAAAAAATCTAAAAAACTATATTTCTTCGCAAGAATTTCTGGCAATTTATCCACTCAGTCTAAAATTACTGTGTACAATGCACATTTTGATTACTGTGCTTCTATTATTTTCTTGTTTATTCTAAATCAAACATCTTAATTACAAAAACTTCAAAATCGTGGTATGCGAATTGTTCTAAAAGTGAATAGATTTACTGAAATCGGAATTATGTTACAAACTTTGCGGTGGCTACCAGTTTCTTTACGGTTGTATTACTTAACTATGACATTTATATATAAAATTCTGAATAACTTATCACCTTCATATTTTTCTGAATTTGTTAGTTTGAATTCAGAAGTGCACAAATATGCCACAAGAAATCATATTAATTTGCATTTATGCAGAACAAATAGGAGAAGTGTTCTGAATTCTTTATTTTTCAAAGGGTTTGTTGCATACAATAAATTGCCAAATGAGAATAAATCTAGTCCATCATTAAGTATTTTTAAAAAACAGTTATTGAAATCCATCCACAATGCTAGATAGAATAAAACTCGGTAAGATAATATTAATAAATATACTATTTGTATGTTGTTTTCTGCTTTCTATCATTTTATTGGAGCTGCACCTATATTGCAATGTATTTTTAATGGCATATGTCGTTATTTTCCAAACGAAAAATATTTATTTTCATTTACTATGTTAGTATTATGTTTTATATAATATTGTGTATTAAGATTACCTATTTCAATAAATATATTCTTCTTCATTTTGAAGTCGTAGAGCTAAAAATTGCTCAACGACATCATATAGTAATAAGCTGAAAAGAAGCAACAAATTTACAGCATCAGGTTCACCATAACCTAGTAGAATATTTATTGAGATAGGGAGCTATGAAAACACACGACATCAAAAGAGACAAAAATTTTTGACACAGCCTAATATTAACCTCCAACAAAATACTTGAAGTATGTCGAATATCAATTAATAGTCACAGCAATGTATTCATGGTTCAGCCTAGCACCAAAAATTAGACCTACGGCTGGACGAAACAACGTTGCCTGGTATTGAATTATCAGTGCGTTGTATTTGGGCTTTAGTCTTCATCTAGTCACCTTGAAGAGCCTTGTTCATCTTTCAATATTCGAAGATTGAGTTCTCCGTCAATCCCATAGATGGCATCGTCGCGTCGTGACGGGAGATGTCGTCAACCTCACTTATTCATCTTTTCATCGCCAACTTTTCGAAACTTATAAAAGACACTGAATAAATGAAGGTTTAAAACGAGCATATAAATGACGATAAAACGAGCAGCACTATCATTATTATTATCAATCACAAGCTGGTGCAACATTTGAATTGAAGAAAATGTTATATATGTTCCGAAGTTGGACGAGTTGGACTAACAATTAATTTTTCCATCATATGCATACGGAAAAGTTCAGGAAGAAAGTAGCATCTAGATTGTGAACAACTGAAGTTCCTACTATTGTGATGAATATGGATCACCGGCAATAAACAATCAATCCAGAACGATAAATACATTGTGAGATTGAAACTGAATTGAACTAGAAAAGATTTATGAGAAAGATGTTTGTCTATAACCTCTATCATTAGTTCCGGAAACACGACTGTTCGATATCATACCTAATAGCATCCCTGAATATATTCATCAGTGATAAATTCATGTACCGGGAAGTAAATCATTGCAACTTCGGTAATTTCCAAATAAAGTGAAAATATATTTCTTGAAGTACGAATAATTGAAAAGAGACAAATGGAAGACAAGAGACAAAAAGAATACAAGAGATAAGGTAACAAGCTGACAGAGGAGTGTTGCGAATTGATGATTTTTCAGAGGACAAAATACAGGCACTACAGGAAAATCCTTAAGGCCCTCTCAGAGCGGTGCCTGTGCGAAAGTAGCCATTCACATTGGATTTCAAATTCAATTGGAAAAACGTTCTCAGGAAGTAAATTCCACATAAATGCAGTTCTACTGATGAGAGAGTTCTTAAATAGTGAAGTTCAAAGTGTACTGAGTTGAACCTCAAAACGATGAGCAGCCATAGTCCGTCGCGTATTTCTGATATGTAGTGCTCTCGGTGGAATCAAATGTGACAAGAACTTGTCCCATGAAAGTATCTATAGAAGAGAGATAAATCTCCAACTTTTTTTCGATGTTCCAGGCTATCAA